CATATGAGAAGATACGCGATCTACGGGAACCGCTGCGCTACCCATAAGAAGACTACGCAAGCCACGACGCTACCAGAAATGTCTTCGTTGTCTTCGTTTTACTACCCAGATGCTGTCGTCGCGCGCAACATTTGAAATTTATGAACTTTAATGACCATAAGTCACGTCAAAGGATACTTGGAAATGCATGAACTATTGTGGCCATAAGTCACGTTTATATTGCATGAATTTTTGTATTCAATGTTTGGAGATTTAATAATCATATTGGAAATGTAATGCATGTCTTTTTATTTCCGAAGGTTGGGGATAGACTTTCCCCAAGGTACAGGCAACATCAATCCCACACCGCGTCGGTGTGTCGTCGCCGATTCAAGGCGGACGGCCGCGTCGCGTTACAATATGATGAAATGAAAATGGGATTGGCTTAACATGGTTGCTGTTAAAAACATGTTAACCATTTAAACTAAGATTGTTGATGTAAAAATTAATTCAAAACTTCCTATTGTTAATGTAATCAGTGGCCACTTCTAAAGAAAGGTGATTGAGATAAGTCTACACTGAATTTTGATATTTTCAGTTTTGGATGATGATTGACATTTTGATGGAAAGAAGTCCAGCCATGTTTATTTTACTGATGTTATGTCCATGAGTTTCCAGCTGACAGGCCACTCCTCGTGCCATTTGGTATTTCATTTCCACAACTTGAAGTGAGAAACCGGAGTTTTCCAGAGAACATGAAATTGCTTTTAAAGTAATAGACTACAGGCAGGAAGGTAAGCCCCAGTAGAAATGCTCAGATTCAAAAGTTAATAGACTAAGAGAATTCCTTGAGCAGTAACATTCACAATGAAAATAATTCAAATGTTCCTCTTTTCTTTGATCTAAAGGATTTGAAAGATATGTCCTGTATTCAAGACAATTGGATTATTATTTCTAATTGCATGATTCTGCATATTAGGTAATTTACTTTGTTATAAAGAAGTGTTGTTAGGCATTAATAAACACATTTTAACTAAATTGAAACATTATTTGTGCATAATATGTGCATGGGTTTTCCGTTTACTTAAATTTTCTATCAAGTGACTTCATACAGATCAAGATATTTTAAATTTTCATTATCTGTGTATATTTTGGGGTATTGGGGGAGAAATAGCCTTGTCACCTCTATCGCAATGTGTCATATTATAACACAAGTGTAGGGTCAAATAAATAAAAAGAAAGATAGAATAAACTGTTCATTCAACTGTACTATTAAAGTGTCCACTTATTTTATAGAAATTATCAGCTAGCTACATTCAATTTAGTCTCTAGCTTTGTACAGCGCGTTCTACTTTAAAATGATCTAAATTGAATGAAATTCATCTGTTGGACTGAATTATCCATGCCTGAGTTATTGAACATTGACCCTTTTTTCTGTTCTGGATCAGTAGCAAGGACAGAGCTGAACCCCATTATATTTTAAAACTAAGTTTAAACTGTATTATGTCTGAGTAACTAGGTTGTAAACACTTCAAAAGAGAGGTTACTATGTTTGGAAATAAATGTGCTAAGAAAGTAACTAGTCAAGGCTGAAAATAATTTAACAAACGAAAAAAATATTTAAAAGCAATGTGCAGCAAGGTAGTTTCAATTAGAAAATCGTGATAGTACTTCTACTTATACCCACTTTTAAAATGATAGATGTGAGGGCTGTATGTAGTCAGATAAACTATGGTTAATTTTAGGAGGTAGGGAGGCACGGTGCCAGACATGTACTTGAAAACTGTCAACATGATTTGTACATCACTGATCACCTACTTTATGCATGGTTTAGCATTGCTGAACTTTTATTGGCAACTACTTCTATTTTTTACCTCTTTTTTGAACTAAGAACGGAAGAGAAGGGCATCTGTGTGACATTCTGCATGCTCTGGATTTGTTGAAGCTATAACAGCGCCTTCTGACGTATTGGGCTTCACTCTGATGACAGCCAAATTGCTGCTGTAGCAGTACTAATAGAACTGGTCAGCGAGATAAAGAACAGCGGCAGTACAAGGGATTTTCATTCCATCCAGCAGGGCAACTTGATAGGTAGGTTTTATGATGAAGGACTTTTTTTCATAATATTTCTTAATTTGAGAAATTTGCCCCATAAGTTCAAGAGACTAAGATTAGTTACCATAGCCAATACAAGATTTTTCACTTTGGTAATACTTTATATTTGAAACTTTTTTTCAAAACTACATCATTTGCTTTTAGTTTAAGAGAGCAGTTATTGTAATATAATGAGTTTCACAGCTAAAAAGTATTGGTATTTTATTTCATTGAACTTATTTTATTAATTTTAATATTAACATAATGTTACCTTAAGCTATCAGTTTTTTTTTCTGTAGATTTTTTAAGCTGTCCATGCTAGTTATTCTTTTCATATTTTTACAGAAACTCCTGCAGCCCTGTGTTTATGTAAGGTGTTCAGTGGAACAAATCCTCTTTTACTGTACTGAACCGTAAACAAATGTGGAATCTTCTTTGAGGTGAATGAGTTTTGTTTTTAGGGATTTTCAAACTTAAGCAGTGACTTATGTAAGAAATTAATTGTATTTATGTAAATTGTATATCATGCCTTTAAACAAACACAACTTATTTTAAAATGGGCTATGTCTGTTTGTCTGTCTGTTTGATCTTGATTAACAGCTTTCCTAATTCAAGTGTAAGTTTACAGAATTGTTTTAAGTAACACAAGTAACAGTTGTGATACCCTTAAAGATTTTTAAAAAGATTATAGGTCACTGAAATTCTATATTGTTAATTTGTCACTACTTTTCTTCAAAGAAATATACAACATTTTTGCAATTATGAAGTTTACAAGTATACTGTTTATCTGCTGAGCATCACAGTTATTATATGGCACACAGTTTATCCTTGGCATATAAATTCTGGATTAGCTGGATTTTCAAAATGACAATGAACCAGACATTTTCATCCTGTGATATGCCAAGGTTTTCAGAACAGTGATAAGCTTCTGTCAGTTGCCTTGTTCGGAGCCAGTGCTGACATACAGGGATAAGGGTTTCAAGTTTTGGGGACGACAGGTTCAGATGGGTACCTCGAGTTGTTTCTTGAATAGTTTATAGGTGTTGAAAAGATATATTGTGTGAATCGATAAACTCGACTCAGGTATGACTAGCAGTATTTATAACTTGGTGTAAGAAATTCTTATGTGAATTTAAGCCAGTTGGAGCTGAGGTCAAATTAAATTCCCAGAATACTGGAGTGCATTGCTATTACGTATACATAGGGACTAATGCTAGTGCCATTGATTTACTTGTACCGATTCTCCATCAAGATTAGTGTGAGTGGCGGATTGATTGTGTAAATCTAGCCTTCACTTGATGTATGTTTTCAATAAGCATTTATCTTCTGGTCAATGGGCAACTCTGCATGAAGTGTTTAGATAACAGGCAAGTAGAAAGAAATATATAACCTAAGTGTAAACTGGTGCCTGATTTAGTGCAATTTTTGGTGATGTCAAAGGGTCGAAACTAAAATAGATGAACTGATTGATTGATTGATTGGTTAATTCATACTGTAGTTAAGAAATGGTGAAATCTGCTGCAAACAATTCAGCATTTTTACTCCTAGAACAGTATGTGTAACTAGTTACTGTTACCTACTCATTCATTCACAGTAAAGACAAGCATGATTTTGCAGTTTGTTCTATGTGTTTCTGCCCAGAAAAAAATTTAGAAAATTATTTTTGGTTGGATTGTTTGAACTGTTTGAGCAACTATTGTAAAGAGCATTGCACTAATACATTGAGATAGAAGATGTTAAAGGCACAACATACTGCATCTTCATTATTTTAAAGGGGGTCTTGGCGATATCGGGCAAAAAAAACATATTAAAAGTGAAAAGATTAGAAAAAAATCTTATCAAGTATGTTTCATGAATTCAGTTCTGAACTGACTGCTTTTGAATGACATAGTCAATAATGTATAAACAAGGGTGTCCCATAATTCTCTTGAAATGCATTGTGCAGGACTGAAAAAAATTGTTTTTCCCCCAAATATTGATCTTGATAATCTATCATTCGATTTTTTCTCAATGTTTTGTTAAGGGTATGCCTTGGTGTTAATGACAAAATTGGCAAAATTTCTGGGAAAAATCTGCCACATGCTGTATATATTTTCTTTGGAATATAATGTTTTATCATGAACGTTTGTCAAAACAGCAATTATGTAATCGAAACCTGTTCTAATGTTGAAATAAGAGTTTGAATCATAAGAAAAATGATCTGCTGTCCAAGGACACGGCACCAGTGACAGGAGTATATATAGAAGACTCATAGACAGAGGGTACAGGGGTGGGTGGAAAGAACCACCCTTTCTTTTGGCAAATAGGTCCACTCTGACTCAAAGTCAAGTTCTATACCATTTCTCAAGTTGAATCAGCCATAGGGGTATAAAGATCCACCTTTGAAAAAAGTCTTTAAAATTGCTGGCTACAGGCCTGTCTTATCGCTGTTCAGCCAATTCTGTGAGCATAGATCACTATTGATTTTGGTTTTGCAATCTTTACATGTAAAGTATTAGCAAAGCAAAAGCAATTCCTCTCTCATCCACAAATGTGACAGAAATGTTTTAGAAATAGAGATGGATTAATAACTGTTAACCATATCTTTATGCTGGTTACTGAGATGAGAGATCGTAAAGATGATGATTTAGACCAGGCAGAGTTGTTTATATCAAAATTGAATAATATTTATCGGTCTTAGTTCTGTACTTGTAATGTTGTACAAATCCAAGGCATGCTCAGATGTCCAAAGTGCTCTGTAAAATGTTCAGATGAAAGTGAGTGCAGAAAAAAATCAAGGTTTTACAGCAAAGCCACTGCAAAATCTTGAAATTCAGAGTTCCCTTTGCTTGGTAAACTATAGCTCCTATTTCGGTAAAACAGGTTTTTCATTGTCTCCTGTGGAATGATGAAAAAAAATAACACATTGTCAAGCCTAAGTCAGTCACATCAAGACCTTTGGAGGAAAAGTCTAAACATGCCACACGTTTAGTTTCTTGGAAATGATATGATATATTTTCATAGTGAAAAGCCAGGAGAGTGTGCTTCACTGACAAATCTCTCTTCTGCTCACTTAGGGATTTCTGCTTACTCACACGTATCTTTGCTCACTCACAAATATCTCCATTTACTTCCACACATCTCCAGATGTCTGATCATACTACAGTTGAACCCTGAACCCCAGTCTCAGTGTGTGTCATGTCTCCTCTTGCTTCCAACATACTCGTAAAATCACCAGATTTTCTGTATTCTACTCAATGCCAGGAGGAGGCATGTTCATTCGTTAGTACGTTTGGACTACCTAGTATAATAGTTTCAGGGTGCACACATTCATATCAGCAGTATACTTTAGCAGAACAGTCTGTACTGGTACACTTTGAGAGACTGACAACTTAATAGCCTGGCTGTTACGCAGAAGTCACACAATCCACTCTCTGATCAGTTATCAAATTGAACAAAGGTTTAATTTTTTCAGATAGATTGGTCGTTTAGAGCATGGAGGCTACATTAAGGTGATCTTTACTTAATAGCCCAGTCTGTTAAGTTGCCAATTTCTGAAAATGTAGCAGTATAGTCTATCTCAGTTAAGTAGACCACTCCATGTGTGAAGGGCCTAAAATGTTTGTTCTCATGTTTTTTTTTTCTGTTCATTGACGCAATTTTGCTTGCTCATATAATTATATATCTCTGCTTACTCTCTGGCGTCCTGTCTGCTTGGAGGGTCAGTGCCTTGGGAAGGGAAACAGATACTCTGAAAGGCTCCAGAGAAATGGAGCTGTCAGCAGATTTCTGCTTTAGGTAATGAATAATAACCAGTCTTAATTGATTTGAGGCATGCTCATCACGGGCAGACAGATACATGATGATATGAATAGTGAAAGCAGTATTGGTAAATATGATTATGTTCCATGATGGAATAGCTCATTATTTTCAGTTTGCTTTGGGAAGTTGAGTTTATGTTTTGAGTATCACAGTATGCATACTTATCTATAAACCAGGCTTTATTAATTTTTGATCACCTTATCTCATAAGGTTCAGTCAATTTGAGAAATCTCTTTGCAGCATAAGCTTAAGTAGTGTTTAATCTTGTTTTCTTACCAGCTAATAGATGAACACATACTATATGCCACACTGCATTATAGAATTGATCAGTTTATACTACATTTGTCTATATTTAATTTTGTAATGTGAATAAGACATGTCCTAAATACCTCAAGGAAAGGTGAATTATTTCTTTTCTTTGCCTAAGTGGTTTAACTGCATATTGTTTGGATATGTTGATAATGTATACTTTGAATGTTTAGAAAGTAAAAGACTTTGAATCAACAATTAATGTCCTGTTGGATAAAGTTAGTTTTAATGACATCTTATATTCACAAATTAAGTTGATTACTTCAAGTGATTTCTGTACTCTTTGCTATATTTGTCTTCAATTGTTTTGCACAAGATAAATATTTGGTTTGCCATCAAGCAAGATTTATTAAAATGCACTGAGAACTGAATTAGCTGTTTTTTTTAATGTCCTGGAGACTTAGTTGTTTTGACTGAAACAAATAGCTCATGGAGATGAAATTGGAAAAAAAAAAGTAAATTCTTAGTGCACTGGTTTTGTAGCAATCATCCATCCATTTCCATATCCCTGATGACACATATGCATATTTCTGGATCACAGAGAACCTTTTTAGTTTTAGCTGTGATCCATTGTTTTTTAAATGAGGAAATATTTACTTCCCAATTTTAGGTAAATACTAGTATGAGATTTTCCTGGTCTGATGGTAATTGCCTTGTTTGAAATGCATTTTCAACCCTCTTTGGACAATTGGTATAGATTATCTTGCATGAAAAATTGGCATTTTCGTAAAGGGAACAGTTCATTGAACTGTTCCCTATAATCAGAATTGTTATCAAATTTATTCTTGAGGCTCTGAGTGTTTTTGTTCAATCTCATTTAAACTGACAGCCAGCTTGTCAGTTACTTTTACCCCACTTTCAGTTAGTGGTCAGCTTCAAGTCCTAAGAAATACAGTATCAAAACTCATGTCAAGTTAGTGCTTTAGAATAATTATTTTTCTTATAAATGAAACCCAATCGCAGTTTGAGGAATGCCAAGGCTTCTGAGATTTTGGCTTCAAATCATTTGTATATAAAATGTCTTTTCATGTCACGCAGCATTTTTTAAACTGCCTGCTAACTTGCATGTACACCCTAGCAATCCCATATTACTCACTGGGGGTAAATGGACTTCCCTTGTTCACTATCCTAGCTATGTTTCATGTATGTTAGGGGACAAAGTCTTAAAGTGTCAAATTTTATTTCTATTAGTAAAGAATATTTGAGATTACCAGTTGTTTTTTTTTTTTTTTATGTCCACCCATGTTTCTGTTGGCTTCCTGGTTACTGTTTTTTAATTCCTATAGACATGATGTATCGTATGGGTTAGAAGTCCTATTTTCTCAATTTT